CCAAATTCAATGCCAAAAATAATGGTATGAATGACTTGGAGAATGGATATACAGAATAACACACAGAATACTGTGTGTTGTATAGTCTTGTGTCGTGTGAATAGTATTCACAACAATATCTTCAGTCAAAATATACACAACTCTTACAGTATTTACACATCAAAACAAATACAACATAACTCTTATAGCATTGTATCAAACGATTCATTGATTTCGTGATTTTAAAGAGACGACAGAAGAATTTGAGATAAAAACTGATATTTTTGGTATTTTTTAACAGAATTTTCAATTTATATAATTGGTTTCACAAGTGTATGTTTTATTAGTGTTTTATTATAACTTATAATAGCATACGATATAATGTTATAGCGAGAAAGAGTGAGAAAAATCAATTTATAAACATTTTTGCTTTCATTATTTATGATATAAATTGATATATAAGTAAAATAAAATATATATATACCCGAATATAAATATTAATAATCAATCATTTTATTCAATATACTCGTATAGTGTTATTAAATAAAAACGCTAGGCTATATAATAAAAATACAAAAAAACAACAACAAAATTATTAATTAGTTTAAAAATCAATCAATAATAATACGTTCGCTTTTCCCCTTGAATACCATTACTTTGAATTAAAATAATAATAATAAAATTTGTAATTTTCTTACCATAAAGTATATGCCGAAAGGTATTATAGATATGCGTTTATATTTACTCCTAAATTAATTGTCAATGAAATTGATTTTTTAAGTTCATTGGTTTGCGACTACACTAACAGATAAGAGTCCATTCATTTAATATATAAGCACCCGATGATTAGGGACTGGGCAACTTTCTGACATGAGAGAGAGAGAGAGAGAGAGAGAGAGAGAGACTAGTATTTAATTTGCGTGACATTCAATCAAAAAAGTGATATTTTACAGCAAACCATAACCAAAGTCAACCCTTTTTCTGCGAGTATTTGAGAAGTAAATAATGATTTGATGTATAATTTATTGAAAAACTTTTTATGCAGTTTTCCTGTATTTTTAGCGTAGAAAACAGTATATTTTTTCTCGAATACCATACAAAACAGCAAAAAAAACTGAACAATTTTTTACTTACGAGAGAGAGAGAGAGAGAGAGAGAGAGAGAGAGAGAGATGTGCCAAACGCGCCCTACAATGAGAGGGAAACACCATTTTTTGGGGAAATAAGAAGAAGAGCACCAAAGATAGCTAAAAAGCAAAAGCCATTAATCATCGACTAAAACCTATTACAGCACCAGCCGTGTAGACACCTTTCCCCTCTACACCACTATAGCGTATATTCTTGTTAAATCCACTTAAAAACATAAATACACACAACAAAAAAGTTTACATTTTCTATTCAATTCGTATAACAATTTTTCTAAACTTTTTTTTGTCAAAAAAGTGCGAATTTTTTGTTACTTTAGTTTTTCAAAACTGATTATGTTTTGCGGTCTCCGCGAGACTATCAGCTTATTAGCACTCCTTGAGAGCCAATATGCATACCGGCGCTGCACGGCATGATAGGGGAGCACTGGGAGATGGAGAGAGAGAAAATAAAAACTAACACCAAAAATATATGCTACCTGTGCTCTACACTATTTACCAATTTGTTCGGCCCGTCAATGCTCTCGCATTCGTGTATAAAGTATTTCTAATACAGAGTGAAAAATAGTGAACAAATTTTTTTCAGCGAAAATTATAGTTTAGTTCACACACTCCGACTGCCGTTTAAATATATGTATAAATATTTATTTATTATTATATTTATCGCCTTAACTCTTGAATTGTTAGTTTTCATCGCAAAATAATTGGTGATGTCGTCTCTCTCTCTCTCTCTCTCTCTCTCTCTCAGTCTCTCTGTGTTTTCATTATAAATATCCGACACTCGCATCACAAATGATCCCGAGTGTAACAAACGTTTTATTTTAAACAAACTTTTTTATTTTTATTATATTATATATAAATCTTCTTCATGTGTACTACGGATACAAAACAGCGTGAATTCAGTGTTTATTTTTACGATTCTCTCTCTCTCTCTCTCTCTCTCTCCGCTAACGTCTATATAATATAAAATGGAAAATAATATATTTTTGTCAATCAATTGTCAAAACAATTCGTTTACATGTGATTTCATTTTTATTTCAGACACCAATTCTTAGTACAAAACTATATATTCTGTGAACTTATTTCAAAAATATGTGTTTCAATAATTTATTTTTAATACTCTGTTTGCATATATTTTTTCTCTCTAAAAGTCATGGAGAAGTTAATGTCACAGAAATGTTATATTGATATTCATTGCACTAGAATTTATTGGATACCAAACTATTTTTTATTGCAAATAGTGTATAACTTGTAGGTGTAATATATGGCGACAATTATCTTTGAATTTTATAAATCAATATTTTAAACGTTTATTACATTTCTGTTTAAAAACTACTTTTAGTTCATAAATTATTTGCTCACAAATGTATCGATAGCTAAATCTTTTTAAAAAACACATTTAAGACAAAGACTGAAAAGGCATTTTTAAAATATTCAAATGAATAATCATTTGCAACATTTAAATAAACATTTGTTTCGCGAAAAAATATTTAAGCCAAAAATATATTTAAATATATTTATCCCATAGTGTAATGAATTCTGAATTTTCAATTGAGATCCGAATATTTATTTTAATTATATTTTTTCTTACTCTCAAAACATAAGTCAATAAACAAAGACAGAAAACAAACATTTTAATGGCTAAATAGAGGGGAACTGCACCAATACACACCTGTTGATTGGGTTGGCCATTGAAAACCATCAAACATTATCATTGCGTTAGTCAATGTAATCGATGGCTATAATGGAGAAGTTAATGTCACAGAAATGTTATATTGATATTCATTGCACTAGAATTTATTGGATACCAAACTATTTTTTATTGCAAATAGTGTATAACTTGTAGGTGTAATATATGGCGACAATTATCTCTGAATTTTATAAATCAATATTTTAAACGTTTATTACATTTCTGTTTAAAAACTACTTTTAGTTCATAAATTATTTGCTCACAAATGTATCGATAGCTAAATCTTTTAAAAAACACATTTAAGACAAAGACTGAAAAAGCATTTTTAAAATATTCAAATGAATAATCTTTTGCAACATTTAAATAAACATTTGTTTCGCGAAGAAATATTTAAACCAAAAATATATTCAAATATATTTATCCCATAGTGTAATGAATTCTGAATTTTCAATTGAGATCCGAATATTTATTTTAATTATATTTTTTCTTACTCTCAAAACATAAGTCAATAAACAGAGACAGAAAACAAACATTTTAATGGCTAAATAGAGGGGAACTGCACCAATACACACCTGTTGATTGGGTTGGCCATTGAAAACCATCAAACATTATCATTGCGTTAGTCAATGTAATCGATGGCTATACCTATTGCTGAGAGAAAATGTATATATTTTTATATAGCAATTAAGGCGATTACAAAGCCATTAGCCAATATGTAATTATGTAAATTAGTTTTACCAGTGCTTTAGGACTTTAACAACCAATTTATAAATTGTGTATTTTATAAGCCATAGGAATGTGTACGTATGGGATGAGAGAGAGAGAGAGAGAGAGAGAGAGAGAGAGAGAGAGCTAGTCTAACAATTATTAGCTTTAAAGTGTATCTCATATTTACGGCGTGTAACTTATAATACCTTTCCCTCAAATCTATCCCCAAGTTTATGCACGCAATGCCATAACAGTTATAATACTTGGCTTAAGAAGACTTGGTATCTATTGAATGGTTATAACTTATAAGAGCACTGGCAGTGTGTTTATCATACAATTAACATTTCGTTGCCCTCGTATACTAGTGTACTGCCGGTGCTCTGACGGCGGCGATAGCTGGTTATGGTGTGTAGGTGTAGCCTATTCTCAATAAATTATATCTCATTTTGAGACATCGCGTGATTAGACAAAGTTATGCTTAATTTTCTCGTTTGATGAGTGGCTGTGGCGCTCATAAAACTAGGGGACGACTGGCCATAACACAGGGCCTGTTGTTCCGTGTATTTCATTGTATTTTTTCACAATATATGCAAAAATGTCAGATCCGTTGTCTTTTAACGGGCGCTCACTTCGCAGATCTAATCCATCTCTGAATTCAAATTTGCAAAACATCTGCTAATCACTGAAATTCTTCAATATATCCATCACCACTCACTTCCAGTCTCTCTCTCTCTCTCTCATCATATAGTGATACTGTAGTGATGCTAATCAAACAAATTGGTTGATAAGGCCTATTGTCTATTGAATGGTGTATAGTGAGCGCGCGTCCAATGATATTGACGTCAATATTATGATGAGTGCAATGGATGTCCAAAACCGTGCAAACTATGAGGTCTACTCTCGATATTAGGGTGGAGTGAATGGAGTGGTTATTGAAAACAATACATAAATATATAATGAATTAGAAATTACGAGGATTGGGTTCAGTAATGACCGACTATTATGTGTATAGAAAAATCATGTGTAGAATAGTTGATACGAGAAGTAGTTTCTACCCGACTATTCAAACATTAAATAATTGCATATTTGGTTAACTATCGCCAAAATAGAGCCAACAATTGCCAGCATTTGAGAAAATTTGTTTCAACAAAAAATTTATAAATAGTTTTTAATATAATATAATAAATGCTTATAAAAGCGAAAAATGTATTTTAAAGCCAACTCCACGATAATTATATTAAAAATAACAAACGACTTAACAATAGAGTAGGAAAATCGGTCTCAATTTCTCCATAAATAAATTCATGTATCAAATAATGTAATCATGTTTTTTAAAGTGTGTTATCCCTTATGAAGAGTTGTTGTGTGTGTACTACTGGGGTCTCTCTCTCTAATGGTGAGCCCCATTGCCCATCAAACGACGTTATCTGACAGTAATATGGCAGTCATTATCAACCATTTGAGTCCAACTATCACAGCATGAGTGCGCCCTCAGAGGCCAGTCCTTCATGTGTCGAGAAAGAAATCGTCGGCTTTAAGACTATTTAAATGAAAAACATATATATATTTATACATCAATTTCAGGAGTAATCCGTGGTTTCGAGAAAACATAGGAATTATGTGCAGACATTCAGACTCTTGTGATGTCCGCTGAATATATTGACTCAGAATTATGCCGAAGATATGAATAGATAAGAATCATGTGTTAATGTCTAACGTGTCAGCCCTATGAACAGGTCTATACACCGTATGAAATGCATTGACGATGTGTTTTGCATAAGCCATTCCTCCCGAGCACTCGCCCCTTGTCTTTTCAGTTTTCAAATGGGCCGTCCGTTCATCGCTTAATAAATGACATCATTTTAAATATGATATTTTAATTCTCTCTCTCATACAGTCTCTCTCTCTCATACAGTCTCTCTCTCTCAGACTTTTTTGATTGTCTGAATATTTGAATGAAATTCTCGGGCAGTGACTGACTGCAAGAGTGACAGCGTTTGAGTGCAAAACAAAGACTAAAATCAAAAAATTTAACCAAATATTGCAGAGGAATGGCTGGCAATCCGTACAGCTATGCCTCTGAGAGGGACTAATGCTTTAATGCCATTCCTCTACTCATTTGACAGCAGAAATGTTTGCCATTGTTTGCAAATCTCTCTCTCTCTCTCTCTCTCTCTCTCTCTCTCTCTCGAGCGATGGGTTAATACCTAAAAATATGTTTGGCTTTCAGACACGATATTAACTCTGCATATAATAGCTATGCATTTGGTTTTGTTTGGCCCAAAAATAAGTCCTTTAAAATCTATAACCCATTGCTGCAGACAACTGGTGTTACAGACAAAAAAAGTGAAACTCAAATCACAATTACATTAATATTTGTGGGGAGAGGGAGAGAGCCCGTGGAGTAGAGCCAGCTATGAGTTTGTCTCTCATTTTGCTTATCTGTCTCTTTTGACCCAAACATCTCAAAACACTTATAATATTTCGCATCACTTTTTATGCCTCTTAAGTGCCCCCAAAAACTTAACACTCACTCCTAAATAGCACTCGTATTATCTACTTTTGTAATGCTTACAAATATTTGCTGTGTTTTTCAAAGTATTTTCAAAGTTTTGCTCTTTTAATACTAATAGCTATTTAAAGATAGCTCTGAGAAAATTGAATGCATTTCTTGTATTCATTTTAATTTTGAGAAAAAACTTTTTGTTCTTATATTTAATTAAATATATTTTTTTGTGATCTGAAAAACTTATATTTTATTTTTATGCATAACTGTAATACAGTATGTATAATATGTGCTTAAATTTTATTAAATTAATGTCAAATATTCATTGAAGAGGCAATCAATTTAAATGAAATACAAAACACACACATCTCTTGCAAATAAAAATGCAATTTTTCTAATTCATGACTTAATTTATATTAAGTTTATGCATTATACAATGCATTGTACTGTGAAATAGTATTGCAATTTCAATTTGCTTATTAATTTTGAACGCCTTATGTATATCTGTGTACGAGGTTTGAAGTTTTTTCGTATATAAAGCATAAAACATGTGTTTATTATTAAATCAAACGGCAATCTCTTATTTAACTTTATATAAAAACATACAAAACATATTTAAAGGCAATGTAACACAAAAAAAATTAGAGAGAGAGAGAGAGAGAGAGAGAGAGAGAGAGAGAGCTCTTTACATCTCTATTAAGTTTATTACTTTTTGCATGCAATCAAAAATTTAATTTCTATGAGTTTTATGCGTATATTACATATAAAGTATTTAGTTATTATTAAGTAGTGCTGCTTTTTTTGGAGGGGCTTTTGTATCAGATTTTAATATAATATTTTATATTATATTATAATATTATTCCCAATACTCTCCTAATATATGGTAATACTCTCCGAGGCAGTACTTTACAGTATTTTATGCAGATTTGTATCATTTTTCAGTTCAGCTTTTTCGTAGTTAATGGCAAAACAACTTCTTTAGTGGTGTTTTGTGTGTGTGTATGCCATCCGATGGGGGGAAACTGAAGGGCCCTGTAATTATTAATTATATAATTAATTATTTGCGATCCCATATCACCTCAATATTTAATAGTCAAAAGTTTTTTTCTCTCTGTAGCCGAGAAGTTCGCGAGACATTCATTGCATACATAAACATGTATTTTCAATAATTTTTCATTTGGCTTCACTTGTCTTACAGTGTTTTGACGGCACTTACAGTTTAATTTGATTTATTTGTTTATTTATTACGAGTTTTTTGTCTTACGAAAAATATGTGCAATGAAACTTTTTTGTTACAGTGATTTTTTTATGATGGGAATAGCATTGATGATTAAATTTATTTGTTTATTATTGTTATTCGCCTTTAATTTCTTTATTCGCAGCTAATAGATATTGATATCGATGAGTACCCCGATTATTTATGAATACATATTTTTGCCTGAATATACTCAAGTATTATCATAATATTATATTATAATATGCGATTATACGAGCGAATCGATCATTTGCTTACATATAAACACGTTTACATGTATTGATTATATTCGCAAATGTATTATAATTTTATTGCAATCTATAATCACGAAACAAATAATTATATAATTTTATGCTCTTTTAAGTTTGTGTAATAAAACGTATTTAACGTTTTTAAGGTCTTTATTATTATTATCATTATTTTGTTACTCTTATGATCGCAACTATATTTTGTTTGATTTTTGAGGCATTCATGTAATAGGAAATTCATAGGGGGTTCATAATAGATACTTTCAAAATTAACCTTTATTTTATACATGTATATCAGTGTGTGGGTTACAATTCCCAAGTATTTGGACATTTGTAGCCCAGGTATGCCTAGAGCCCTGGTTACTCCCATTCCCGTGCGTATAACGTATTCGTAATTGTAATCTAATGGTTAAGAAATGAGTAAAAAAGACTTTTTATACTAAATACTTAAATAAAAACTCTTTTATTCGGCTAAACATACCGTATATTTTGTTCGTTTAATTTGTTGGTTAACAATAAAATTGAATTCATGGCTCGTTTTTAATGAACAACACTATAAAAAACTAAAGCCCTTATACTCAGCACCGAAACGGCCCTCCAATTCCTTACAGCTATTCATAAAAATTGGTTTTCCGAGTAATGTATTAAATGTGAGCGAAAAAAATATATTTATATATATATATTAGCACAGAATGGCTGAAGAAGAGCTTAATTTCCATTTTATTACTTAACGTACAATAAATCTTATTTTTGTTTCTATTCTCCTATTTCTCTATCGCTTTTTGTATTCAAAATATATACAAAACACTGCTTTTTGTGTTGCATTGGCAGAGGTGAGGATGAATTCTCTCACTTGTATTTTAATTCAAATGTCATAAATATATTCTCACATATTATATGAGAATGAGAAAAAGGCATATAATAAGAAACACACACACAAAACTATCAGGTATAGAAATATATACAGCCTCAAAAATATACCATTAATTATAATTATTCCCCGCTCACAAACAAACATTCCGTACGCTATGTCTCATATATATAGCCACAAAATAGTATTATATAAACTAAACCAATGTGTTTTTTGGTGTTTGTTTGTTGTGTTACTTATATTTAGCTGTTGTGCTGATTAGGGCCTAAATATTTAAAAGCGTGACCACCGATGGTGTGCCGGTATTTGCCGGCCTTTTTACACTTTTTCATGGATGTGACAGCTCTTGGAAATTGATTGGACTGAACGCCGAGCGAAATGCAAATTAATAGTGTATTTAAATTTATATTCCCAATGAATAATACCGTATATGCAGTACACTATGCGCGAAAAAACTATTAAAAACTATTCAAAATATAATCTTTGTTATTATTAGTAGTACTGTATTTTGCTTGTATTTTACATTTTATAAATATTATACTTTTTGTTATTATTTCACTGCCATTAGTGTTGGAGATATATTAGCCTCGAAAACATTAAATTTTTTCGTATTATTCTCTCTCATAAGGTATAAATAAACTATTTTTAATAGTAACTAATATTAAAAAATAAATTTTAATGGCTGATATTTAAAAAATATATTTTAATGCTAGGGTTTGTGTAATGCTATTATGATTAAATAGCAATTGTTTAATAAATTATTTGTTTGCATTATAATATACCCAGAATATTGCTCCGTTCAGTTGACTGAACCGAAAGTTTGTAAGATTTTGATACACAAACAAATGAAACAATTTCTCTCAATTGTGTTTTTCATTGAAACTATTATTCGGTTTTGAAAATTCAATTAAACACACCATTCATTGACTTTATAGTCCAGACAGGAGAGCAACACATCTCTTAATTAATTGTTGTTTTTCTTCCGTTTTATCTCTTCTTTTGCTTTCATTGGCAGTCCAGGGGCTGACTCCGGGAGTTGTCATAAGTCTCCACATAATATCACTTTATAATAGATTTTCTAATACAACACGTATTTTAATGAAATCAAGTCTTTGAAACTTTTTTGAACAAAAGGCTAATTTAATGCTAGCTATGATGCTGTGCTTATTTGTCACTGTAGTCTGTCGACTGCCTGGTTGTGTCTCATAATAGACCCTGAAGGCAAATATTAATTATGTTGAAAACAATAGTTAGATCATTAACTCAGATGACGTTCAGGTATATTATAACAAAAGAGTGTTTGCCTCACAATTTCAAAGCCTCTCTCTCTCTCTCCCTCTCAGCTCAATGTCTTATACCTTTCCAAACAGTACTGCAACGACTATACTATAATTTTTTCATACCGTATATCATATCACATGATATTAAATATAATAAAACTCACCGTATATATATATATATATATATATATATTGTGTATTAAATTTATTATCTCTAACATTTAATGACTGCTCATATAATACAGTTGCGCGCAAAACCACTAATTAAAATACTTTCGGAGTCCTTATTATTTGTGTCAAAACGAAAACTCCACTCGTAATCAAGATGTGTTGCCTATCGCTAAATGTCATCTCATCTCACATCCCAATACCACAAACATAATACTCATACAAACCGTCTCTCTCTATACTCCCTGTGCAGGTGAACCGACCGCTAACCATGAAGAAGGAGGGCATCCAAACGCGAAACCGAAAGTTGTCGTCAAAGGGCAAGAAGAAGAAGGGAATGATCGCAATGCCTGAGTGTATCAAACCATTCAACGATCATCACAGCAAAGCCTTCGGCGGCTTCGGGCCAACGCACGGACAGCTATCGTCGGCCATGAGCTCCATGTCGGCCATGTCTGCGGTGAACCACTACATGCACCACAGCGCCGGCAACATGAACATGGGTGGCATGAATATGGGCGGTATGAACATGAATGGTATGCCCATCTCGATGGCCGGCTCGCCGTTTATGACGACGCCGTCGATGCATATGACGAATCCGCACCACTCGGGACTGTCCGGTCTGTCGCTGAACACCAGCGGCTCGATGCTGGGCGCCGGTAGTCTCAATAGTATGGTGGGCGCTATGGCCTAATACCCGCTCTAATAGTATAGGAATTTTAACGAAAAAAAGAAATGTTTATATATATTATAATTATAGAAAAAATATATTAAACATATATATAAGTTATATATGTATTAATCGCGATTTGAATTGAGAAAACGAAACCCCAAAAATCTATATATAATTTTAAAATCAATTGTAAAATACATTCATTTCCCTACCCCTCAGAAAAAACACATAAATATAAATGTGATTCACATTTGTTTGTCGAAAAATTGCATAATTATCAGAAAAACACTGTTTTCGTGTGTTTTTCAAAACTACAAATTTGATGTCAAAAAACAATTGCTTCTCTTATACATAAGACATTAACATAAGTACTAAATATAAATATTATATATAAATGAGAAAATATTTCGATTCATTTTTTTCTCGTGTCTGTAAATACATATTGAATGACAAACAAAAACAGATTCAGTTTTAGTGAAGAGTTTAATGAGAAAAAATACTTACGATTATTACTATTATTATTAAGAAAAATATTGAGTTTTAAATATTTGCGAAAAACCATATTATATAACATGAGATCATTCATTAAAACATTTCAAAAGCCATTACCTCAACAACAGATAATTATAAGTATATATGTAAATGATAAAAACACATTAAACTTAATGATAAATTAGGTTCTGATCTATATTTTTCTCAAACAAAAGATTGTTTTTCCAATTTTATTCATTAAACATATTATATATACATAAAAATCAAACGACAAAAATTTTTAAGACACTTACAAAATTGATAATTTTTAGGCTCTCTCTCTCTCTCTCTCTCTCTCTCTCTCTCTTAAAATTCAATAAACTAATTGTTTAATTAAAATATTAGAATATTTTATCTTAATTTCTTTCAACACAAATGTATACAAAAAATTATAGTTTAAGATTAGCATCGATAGAGAGTATATCAGAAAACAAAATTATATATTCAACGATCCATAGACTCAAAAGATATGCACAACAAAATACATTGAGAGATAAGGAACCACCAGTTTTTTACATATTCAGGGTAATGCCATATATCTGATCACTCGATGGTTAAGGTATCGATAGGGGAATAGATAGGGCGCTCGAGAGGTTGACAGATGTGGGGAATGGGAGGCATTAGAGATTAATTGCATTATTAACAAAAAAATATGTCTTCAAGTGATTTTCATAACACCGAAACACAAAACTAAACTTTAAAAAAGTTAAAATGAAAGTATGTTTTCTTTGCTGAGAGTGTGCCAAATGCGAGCATTTCTTAATTATTAATTACAGACACAAAAAAAAGTTTTTGCGCAAAAATTATTATTAGAGCCGCTGTTTTACAAAATACAAAAATATTTTTCTCTCTCATTAAAATTAAGTAATTCTCAAATGACCCCGACATCTCATCCCAAAGTCTTTTAAATTTCTAAATTTAATTTTGAATTTAAAGTTTTATTGTACATTTTTGAACTTTTTTTACTATATCTATTTTGTTTTTTTTATATAATATAATATAAACTCAGAGATTGATTTTACAATTTTATTGTTGCTTTAAAATGATTATTATTGACAACAACATCAGTAACACATAACACACAAAAATGTTCATTCAATTCATTATGTAAATGATATCAATATTTAGTTCACAATATATAAATGATTAAAAAAGAGATTTAAATTATTGTATTATAATTTATGATTTCATAAAATGCAATAATAATTAGTTTGAAAACAAAACGACAAACGTCTTGATATTTATAATTTATTTTAAATTTGGTTCAACTACAATTTTGCGAATATTACAGTTTGTATTATATATTAATAATATTAAATGAAATTAATATTTTGGTAAATGGGTATTTAGGTGTAATTTTTATATTTAAATTACAATTATATGTGTGTGTAGTTTATAAGTTATATTTGTATATAAATGTATGTTTAGATAATTATAATTATATTATTTAGTATTAAGAAATTAATAATAATATAGTTTTTATAGATATACTCAAGAATTTAAATGAAGAATAAATGACATATCAATACACAATGATATTGTGGTTCTTAATAGTGGAATAAATATTTCATTTCAAGGATTATGAGATGTTTTTAAGTTCACATAATAATATATATTGAGCCATAGTTTGATAGATTGCCAGGTATTTTGAATGAAAGGTTAACTCATGTAAAGTTCCTCAACATATTTGTAAAATACATTTATTACACAGTAATCATAGAATAGACAAATAATAATAACAATAAATATTTAAAATAAAGTCTAATTATTAGCCGATTCTTTAAAATTCTCTCTCTCTCTCTCTCTCTCTCTCTCTCTCCTCATAAGACAATAAAAAAGTCATTTCTGTTTTGACTCCCATTCACTTGTTCTGTATTTTCTGAAAATCTATAATAACTTTATTTTTTGTTGTTATGTTAGGCACCGGTAAGTGAATAATAATTTCTAATATTTCATATTCGCATCAATGGGTTCGACAGTTGCTTTCAATTCATATTAGTATAAGACTAGCGCCTAATAAATAGCCAAATAAATATAAGTCAAAAATTGTTACATTCACTCAAATGTTTAGCTATTTTTGTGTTTAACACATGATTTCCTTTTTAATACACACAGTGTATGGGAGGATCCGAGTATCACACCCCTTGGTCTTGTATGTACTTTTGTGTTTGTCGTATAGTACGGGTGCTCTTGTATTGACATTTTGTGGTTTTTTCCTCAAAAACGACACAATTGTCTGAATAATAGGGAGAATATGAAGAATAATGACTGAGAAAGACATGCAAAGTGTCCATTTGTGTGCAGCAATTGTGTGGTACGAGGGCCTGGTGTCTGCCCGGAGTCCTCCTCCCACTACTATATTATATGCATTTGGAAAGTAATTGGGAAATAACTTCAATAACTAATTTTACGGTCAACTAAGTCTGTGTTTGTTTTGTCAATGAATTGACCGGTCATTTGGGTCACAGAAAGACTAACATAACATCACTCATAAGGTTAGGACAACTTTGAGTGACTGGGGAGGGAAAGGGAGGGGAGAAATGCAAATAAAAAATCTATTTGATTCTTTTGTTTAAAAATTATATTTATAGTCTACTTAAAAGTTTTTTTAAAAGTTTTCACTCTAAGAGAAAAAACCTAATATTTTATGTGTTTTCTCGTATGGGATTGTCGTTACGCTAATAAGTGATGTGTATTTGTATTTGTTTTGCAGCTGTTATTCACAAACTAAGAGAATATTCTGGTGTTTGAATTTATTATGAGTACTATTTTTCGTGAATGCATTTTATAATAAAACTCGAGTGAAAACCGTATTTTACTTTCTGAAAGAAACCTCAACTTCGTTGAGCACTCGGAGCACTCGTATATGCCTTAAGAGTAGGCAATAACTCGGGACTCAATGTCTCTCTTTATGTATATTATTCTCGACTCTGACTTTAGTATCGGTAATAAAATAGTCGTATTCTTATGGGACGTTTGACTTCTTGTTTTGGGCACTTCTTTCGGGCCTTTTTATACATGTTTTTTGCATTATGTGTCCAAACAGTGAGCGTATATACACGCCAAACGACACACACATATAAACAGAGGGCCTGACTGTGCGAATGGCACACACAAGAAGACACTGAAAGCCACTGAAAGATAGAGTATTTTCCGCTTTACTTTTTGGCGACTCGTAGGCGGGAGAGGACAGGGGAGGAGGACAGACATAATTGTCTCTTTGTCGAGAGCCCTATGACAACCAACAGTGAATCTAAATCACAAATACAGGCGCACTCCCAGGCAGGCACTGGCATGAAATGGGGGCTCAGCGGGCATTAAGTACTGGAAAGTTAGGTGAAACACAGCGGGCCGTCACTACTACTGCCAGCAGTGGCTATGGCTGTTGGCTTCACGACATTACGGCGACACCACTACTATCCACCACCACATCCACACACACACACTCTCTGGCACATCCCGTAGACATACAGCCATACCATACCATACATAGCGCACATACCGTTCCTCAAACGACTCGAGCTATTAGTTACTCAAAAGCCTAAACAAAAGAATACCAAACAATCTCTTCAGTTGTCTAATGGTCTGCCACTGGACTCTCAATGGGCTCTCAATGGCTAAGAATGTGTGTCTCTAATGATTGCCAAATAGGAAAAGCAAACAAATATTATTACTATTATAGGCAATGACTTAGAGACGATGCACTGGACGTCCAGTTCAGTTATTACGGTTCACCAGTTTGTGTGACGGGTCCAGCGACTGGTGGCAGACTCCTGGCCCCCAATCACTGATATATTAGGCACTAGTGTTAGGCCAAACACTTTTGCTTTTATTGTGTTGAGACACTTATACTCAATTGTATAGCAGAAGTACACAGTATAATAGGTTACAGTTAAAAGTCGTTATAAATTATATGATATCTAAAAATAGTTTTTAAAATGAATTCCTACTAATAATACAGTGAATCGACTAATATATTAAGGTTGCCCCTGTAGAGTACCATTCCCAGTGGCCAGTAGTGTACTGTATGGTACTGTTCCATAACATTATAATCGTTTTAGTCATTTCAGTAAATATTGCCAACAAAATCATATGAAAGATTGCTTTTTGGGGAATACTCTCTGCAATACACACACATATACTACACACAAATTCTGTAAGAATCGAGAGCACCAGTAGTTTTTAAAAAAATATTGTTGTATTAATACAAATACATAAAGACTCTTATCTCTGGTGAACAGAGATCTCTCTAAAGTGGCGGATAGTATCAGAGAAAATAGTAATTTCTACATATTTTTCAACACCGACTCCACTCAGTTGTATTTGAGATGATATTCTGGAGGTTCAAAACCGCATAGACAAACACTGACTACCAGTGCTGTTATGACTAACACATATAAGGCATTATTTTCAGAGATAACGACCAGTTTTCTGATGTTTATTGTTTTAATAGCAGTTTGAATATTAAATAAGATTTGCATTTCAAGGAATTTTTAACAAACAATTTGTTTATCAAATGCATTATGAGATTAGTTTATGAAATAAAAATCTCATAAATGCTTAGTTTGAATGCATTGGTAGACGATTATGATTTCACTATTGAAATGCTAATTCTGGAAAACACTTTCTTTTGATAGTTAGACAGTGAATAGACCATTAATAATATATATGCACTTTAACTTTTTATAATTATAACTCTTTTGACTCATAAAGTAATGAGATTTAATTAATTACTCGATTATATAATTATTTCAAGAAATTTTGAATTTTTAAAATGTATAATAAATTTTTTAAATATTTACATATGAAACCATTTTTACAGTGCATTAGAAGTATATTTATTTTGAATTTAAGTAAGTATTCTTATAATATTAATAAATATTAAAATTATTTTATATTATTAACGTTTTAAAATTAAATAACATTACATGGTTTCTATGGTTTAGAATTTAATTTACTGTATTTTAATTTATATTAGTTTACTAAATTATACAGTAATGTAGAAATTTAATTTGAAACCAGTATATTATACCAATTAATGCATTCAGGAAAGTGTCAGTAGTTTCAAAGTGTCATCTCTTTTCATAACAAAATATTTGTTCACAAAAGTCTTTATTTCAACCGAAAACTCATTTAATTCTTGCAATACAACTGAATGACACTATAATTAAAATATTTTAATTAATATTTTGGTATTTGCTGTTTAATATTCATATGTATACTGCAATAATAATTTTCGCTTAATTTTTGTATTGAATTTTTGGACCCATTTAATGAAGCGTTGATTTTTATGGTAAGAGTAATAAAAATATAATAAATATATATATATTTTCCGTACACTTAATAGGAGTGAAATGCTTTTACTAATGAAAAAATTTTCTCCTAAATACCAACGAAAGTAATAAAAAATTTCATATTTTCCTCACAATTTCTCTATTATAGAGAAAATATAATAATTTTTTCTGTAAATTAATTATTAAAAACTAAAGTGAAATGCATTTTTCGGAGAGAGAATATTATTTCATTAGCTTATCATTAATCAACTGATGATATAATTAACTGACGGACTGTTTAATTAAAATTATTTTACATTTTGAGTCGTTTTTTGAAAAGTGTATAAAATG